TGTCTTTACAAGCATTTTTGTTTTCATCTAATCTTTGGCGAATAGGCCGACACGTCTCACCAACATAAGACCATAGAAGCGCACAATGTTGTAGCAACCAGATCTCGATAATTTGTCATATTTTTTCTCTAATGGAGAGTAAAATCGAAGATGTGAGAGTTTCTTTGACTAATGTTTTTATCTCCCAATTTCTCACTAGTTCCCATTTCTTATGGTAGAGAATGCATGACGGCAAAATTAGGAGACAAGCAAGTGTCAAGTTGTCATTTTATGCGTATGAAATTTATTCACTAATAAAGAGATATTATTATCAATTAAACCCTAAATATAATAACCTTATATGAATACACATTTCAGCTATTCGAACTCTTTAGTTAAATAGTTACTATCCAATAGGCACAAATTCGATCTCAATTTTGTAAATATGGTTGGGAAAAAAATTCACAAAAGAAACAAGAAATATTGGTTTTCAATAAAGATCTCTTTCTAACTTACTCTTTTCTCAAATGATCAGAACATACAAAAAAATGAGGACCTATTCCCTTTTAGTTGCATTGCAGACCTAATGTTCCTTTCACGTTGTTTAAGTGAAAGCAAATAAAAGTAACACTAAGAATTTGAAAGGGAATTATCCAAATCATTATATACCTATTTAAGTTAATACATTTTTGCCTTTAGTTATAAGTATGTGTAAGAGGAAAGATATAGCCAGACAGTCTTCTTGATATAGTGTTACCGTGAGACATAAGAATGAGTTCGGGCTCTGATGATGTCCATGATATGATGGATGAAAGTTCAGCCTGCTTTCACTTAAAACAAAAAAGGATATCTCGCGGACTATGTCAACCTGAACGTCGTATTAGAGCCGAATGGCTGCAGTAAAAAGTGAATGAATCGTCGTCATCTTAGATTGACCTTCGAATCTCTTGATCATTCACTTTCGTATGTAGTGAAAGTCTCCACCAATGGTATCGTAGGAGATAAATCGAAACCCAGCCATGCGTCATAGCTACAAATAGAACTTCAATACTAAACTAAACATTAAGCCTAATAGACAAATTAACTTTAAATCTTATAAAATGAAGTGAATATAATGAATTTATGGAAAAAAATCCCTGTATGTGTAGAGCCAAAGTTCGAAAAAGCATGTACTTTAAAAAAATTTAATTCAACGAAAAAAAGGGAAATAAAGGCAAAAATTGTGAAACTAATTAGTACATACTTATCTAGCGCCATCAAAAGTCTGGCGATTATTCGTTTTGAAAAGTGAACACGCTGTTGCAGATTAACCGAAATATCTTCGCCATCCCAACTAGCTAACTGGCGCAGAAAAGAGTCCGTTTGAGCTGAGGGAGTAACATCAACTTTCTCCTCCTCGTCTGCCGCTGCTGCTGCAGCAGCTGACTCAGACCTTGGTCTAAGAACATTTCTATCCCCACGAGCATCAAATATTTCCCCAGAATCTTCAACAGCATCTGCTGCAGAATTAGCTCCAGAGGATGCAGAAGCCGAAAACCTGTGCAAAATCAAAAGAGAGTCCTCATCCAGCTGATTCCAATATCGATTGACAGCACATAAAAGCGCGTCATCTTTTGCCTGACGGGTCTCCAGCTGCTCAATACGTTCACGAAGGTCGGCAATTGCAGTAGTCTTTTCACGAAGCGCCTCAGCTAATCGTTTATTCTGCAACTGCAAAGTTCGCTTGTCTAGCTCATCAAGAGAACGAACACGGCTAAAAGAAACAGATTCACTGGCAATTAGGCCACCGGCCACTGCAGAAGAAATTAAAATAGGCTTTTTGGCGGGCGGAGGGTAGATGCTTTTAGAGGAAGATGGAGAAGAGGACTGAATAACATTGACAATCGAGCTAGTCCCGGATAAGAATGAGATGGAAGAAGATCCGGGAACTGTTTCATCTGAGCCAGGAGCTGGGCGTTTAAACATTTTGCTTCTGCTATGAGAAATAAAGTGCACCAGTCTTTGAAGATGCGGAGCACATCCGCTAAAATCATACGAAAACTTGTTAAAGCTGAAAATTGATGAAGTTTAAAAGAAGTGCTGAGATAAAATGGAAAGTAAGGTACCTTTTGAATGAGATAAAATATATGAGATCTAAAGAGGACGCCGGAATTAAGGATAGTGATCTATAAAATTAATCGCAGATCACTAGCTGGAATGGGGAATTCAGTTATGGAATGTTATCACCCAGTAAACAATTTAAATGTCTGACAAACACCAGGCTCGCAAACACACTTTCTGACACAATAACCACATTCGGTAAAGCCTTAAACAAATTAGTCTATTAATTTTAAATAAATATTAAACAGCGGTAAAAATAAAGTACAAATGACAAACGGCTCTGTAGATTTTCTTCTGTTATCTAAAACCCTTGATGTAGTAAGGGCCTAATAACCTCAATATAAGATTGGTTCAACCTGAAAATACTGAATATGGCTAGCAGAAATAAGACGTTTACTGGAGTGTTGGTAAGCCTGAAAATCATCATCACGAACAAATATGGATCAATTCTGAAATTGATTGTAAGTTATGGAAAATTAAAATGGCTGGAACCAAGAGAAGCTCGAAGTCCTGCAGGTTACAAATAAAATTCATTTTAAATGAATAATAAGAGCAGTGGTGTTAATGGGAAGGCTCATGTGGACGAAAGCCTATCACAATTAAAGCTAATAGTAAAATAAATTCTAAAAC